CACTAAGTGCTTTTATAGCCATTATTTCCATTGATTTGTGTCAGTTCTAGAATCAATAGTGAATTGTTTTATTTATCTAATTTTACAATATGTCTTAATAGCTAAGTTCAATGCTTATGACCTGCTTGCTCATAAACTTATCAGTTACAGTCACCTGTCAGTTTTTTCCAGACGAACTTTAGAATTATTTTTTCATATTAACAAAATCCCATTGTGATCATGTTTAATCTATAGATTAATTAGAGGAAAATGGAAAAATTCATAATATTCAGTATTCCCCTTCAGGGACATGGTATATATTTCTACTTATTCAAATTTTTTAAAATATCATTAAAAATTTTTAAATGTTTGCTTGTATAAATTCTGTATATATCTTCCTGGAGATATTCCTTTGTATTCTATGTTGTTTGTTAATAAAAATATATAAAGATATATTTGCATCGATTATTATGGCATACAGAAAAATTATTGAGCTTTGAGTATTTATAATTCAGCCTCTCTAGTAGTGACTAGAAGTGTCTTATTAATTCTAAAAGTTAGTTCACCTGAGTTTTCTAGGAGTATAATCATATTGACAACAATTAGTAACCGTTTTGCCTTTCTTTTCCAATGTTCACATCTCTTAACTATGTTCCATGCCTTAATGCATTCCCTAGGAATTTCAAAAACATCGATGCAAGGATCTTTGATGTCTTCCCAATTTAATGTAGATGATTCTAGTAATTTGTTCTTAATTGTGATGTCTGTTATAGTTTTAAAATAGTTTTTTTTTTTTTTTTTTTTTTTTTTGGTACGCGGGCCTCTCTCTGCTGTGGCCTCTCCCGTTGCGGAGCACAGGCTCCGGACGCGCAGGCTCAGCGGCCATGGCTCAACGGGCCCAGCCGCTCCGCGGCATGTGGGATCTTCCCGGACCGGGTCACGAACCCACGTCCCCTGCATCGGCAGGCGGACTCTCAACCACTGCGCCACCAGGGAAGCCCTAAAATAGTTTTTATCCCTCTAAGATAGCATCCTCCTTTTATGAGTTTACCATAGGTTTTATCAGTAATATATGTTAATTTTATGACAATTTTTAGCATCTGTTGAAATAATTATAAGGTTTTCATTATTGCTACTATCAATATAGTTTATTAAATGAACAGATATCCTGGTTATAGGCACATTCTTTTAGCTCTTTCCTCTAATATAGAGCTAATTTGTCAGAGTGCTGTTCACCCCAGATAATAAACTTTTCTCAATGAAGTGACACGTGCCAGTTTTTGTTTTCTCCACAATGGCCTCTGTATCATTGACACTTTATTTTTTGACAATCTTTTGGTTTGCAGTAAATAGTTTAACTGTTTTCCAAAGGGTAAATAAACATGGTTTATTTGAATGGTTAAAATATACTGTGTGAGTTTGAAGTTGGTGACTTGTCTTGTAGAAGTGGGTCCTATACTAGATCTAACTCTTGTCACCTTTAAATCAATTCTAATAAAAAGAATACCAAGAAAATAAAAATGTGAGCCAAGAAACCCTGAAAACATGTTGTTGGGAGGTGATAAACCAGAATGCAGAACATACTGCCACAGGAGCTATGCTGATTGTTTACACAGGGAAAAGCATCAATGTCCTCCCCTCCCCACTCTGGCACATGTGTGCATCACAAACACACCAACTACACAGAGAGGGCCCACTTAAGTATTATATTTCTAGGATTCTTTCTCTTGGATTTTTTTAGAATGTAGTGCTCATTTTCACTTAAGCTTTCCTTTTTTCAATCATTTAACCATTCAACAAAAACTTATTCAGTGTCTACTATGTGACCTACTCTGTGCTAGGTTTTGGGGATATATTTTAGACAAGTTAGACATGATTCTTGTCTTTATGGAACTTACATATTAATAAGTAAGACTTGAAAGCTTTTTCATTTTCATTTTTTTGTCTCTTGTCAGACTTCATAAGCTGTTAGTTTTTCATTTCTTTTGCTACATCTTTTAATTATATAACACAGCTTCCTAATTGCTGATGGTCTGAATGTTCTTGGATTATTCATTCAATATGTGACAGGCACTGTTCTGGGTACTGAGGATTCCAAAGTGAAGAAAAAAAGACAAGAAACTCTGTCCCCATAGAGCTTACTACATTCTAAAGAAATCCTGATTCTAAGGCTTTGCAAGATTCATTCAACTTTAATATGCCATGTATACCAGAGGCACTTAAAAAAAAAGAAAAAAGAAGTGAACCAAGCATTCAGGAAAGACAGAAATGCAGAAGTTGATGCAAGAAAGGATTTCTAGTTAATAATGATTTAAATTGAAATTCAGTTAACCTCCCTCTCCAGGTAATTCAATTGTCTAGTTTTTAACAAATTTCAATATATATGACTCCAGCTTTTCATAAAAAACACAAAAGACTCATCAGGCTTCTTTAGTCTGGTGCATTTCTTTGCTCAAATTTTTGGCTTCATAGGCAGAAATCTTTAAACAAGAGGCAAAATGATAAGTGAAATACAGGTGTTTATTAGGCAGTTTCAAATGGTAGAGCAGCTCTCCCATATTCTCCTTGCCTCCAAAAAGGACTTCCCAAATAGTGGGAGGCAGCACAAAGTAGGGACTTTCTGAGATCACCTATTGACTGAATAGAGACCAAACAGGGAGAATGTAGGTACTGTTGTAATTATCTCCTCTACTGAGGATAAGGTTGGTACATTTTTCTTCTATGGGATAATTCTGTAGCAGCAATGTTTTACTTTGGTACTTGATGCAATTAAAATAAGAAATGTTCATTAGTTGAATCCATTCATTCATTGGATCAACAGATGTTTACGGAGTACCTCCTATGCGCCCGGCCCTGTGCTTCTGTGGATCTTGCAGTTTTGGTGGCAAGTAGATATTGAACCAGTTAGTACAATACACACGTGATTGGTATCACAAGAGTGGGGAGACTAGATTGGCGGAGGAAAAACAGGATCCTGTGCAAGGTATGTTAAGGAGCATTACAATAAACCATAAAGCATTTATTCATTCATTCACTCAAGGGTCAGTAAGAATTTCTGAGGAAAAATGACTCTAAGGCCAAACTTACAGTGGCACTTCAATACAGTCCCCACTGAGTTTAATGACTAATGAACTGGCTTCCTAGCGAGATTTAAAGCTACCTAGAGGTGCAGTGATGGTTATGAGAGGGAATGATTTTCCTAAGTCGTATTTCTCTAACAATAATAGTAATAATAACAGCTCACATTTGTTATTTTCTGTGTGCAGAGCACGATGCTAAGCACTTTACATAGTATATTCCATAACACTCAGAATAACGCTAAGGCAGGTAAACTCAGTATCCCCATTTTATAGATGAAGCTTCTGAGGCTCAGAGACGTAAGAAACTGGTCCAAGATTACACATCTAGAAAGCGGTAGGTTCGGGATGTCATAGAACTTACCAGGAGTTGGGCTTTTTAAAATGAAGGCCAGGGACAGGAAATGAATCTGCATACCTAGCCAAACATGTCAAGAATGTGAAATAACTCCCTCCCAGTTTTCACAGCGTTTCAGAGAGTTAAGTAAATAATCTTCAGCAGAATCCAATCCAAGCGTGCAGTTCTTTGCGTTCAGCACACATACTTGCCGAGGAGAAGACACCGTTCATTGCAGAGGATGCTTCTAGTTTACTTCACCCCTACTCCTGGTAATGACCTAGCCCTGGTTTCTCTTCAAGGACCACTTTAGAGCAAACCCCCCTTTCCCCAAGCGTCTACTTACCAAAAAAAAGAAAAAAGAAAGTGGCCCACAGCTGGGTTCAGGTAGCCCCTGCTGTTCTGTTTCATGAAAGTTTTGAAGAAACCTAGAGCTGTTACCGAGTTTCACCATCATTTAATCGATGGACAAACTCTCCTTACTATCAACTCTCCTACTTGTCCTACGCAAATGCAGAGGAAACTGGCCTTCGCAGGGGCCTCAGAGGCACCAGGAGGATCTGCTTATACTTTCTTCCTCCCTTTTCTTCTTTCCCTTCATCATCACTACCATCATCGCTATCATTTATTAAGCACTTACTGTGTGTCCAGTACTCTCTTAAGGTTTTATATATATTTAAGCCTCAGAACAATCTTATGAGGCAGCTACCACTAACTCAGTTTTCAGTGATGAAGGAGGCTGTGAGGCTATTTAACTGCAAGGTCACACAATGAGGAGCAAAAGTCTGGATTAAAACACAGATCTGTTTAACTCCAGGGGATGTGTTTTTAAGTGCCAAGCGGTACTGCTCCTCTTAAAGGACTTACAATGGGGCAGAGGATCACGGAACAATGGACCGGATGTGTGGATCTAAGTTATGCCTATATTTACATAAAGCAATAGGATGGAGATTTAGATGTTATTAATCTGAGGTCCATAGACCCTCGGGTGTTTAAAAATAGATTTTGGAGGGTTTGTAACCCCCTAAAACAGGAGTCAGCAAATTTTTTCTTAAAAGACGAGGCAGGAACTATTTTAGGCTTTGTAGGTTTTATGGTCTCTGTTGCAAACACCCCTCGCTACTGTTGTAGTGCAAAAACAGCCACAGATGATACACAAACAAGTGGGCAAGGCTATGTTCCAATAAAACTTTATTTACAAAAACAGGCAGCTAGCCAGCAGGCTCTATGTGCATCGTTACTTTTGTTGCTGTTATTAGGAGAAAATCTTATAGCTTTCCATAGCTTCTCTAGTAGGTTCAAAATCCAAGATGGCTAAGAACTGGTCTAAATGGTCTCCAAGTTGCTCTAAATTTAGACATTCCAGGATTCTATGATTCTGCATGCCTTTTCAATTAACACACTCTTTAGAAATTCTTTTTCCTTAGTAGGTTCATTTGATGGATTCTGCTGTGAACTCTTAAGTGGACTATAATTACTGTCTGTTGAGAAGGAAACACAGGACACAGTACCATTTCAACCCTCCCTGGCTTACCTGGCTGAAACACAAGGACATTCCAGACTGGATTATAGCAGCTCAGTCCTGAACTAGCTAGTCTGAGGTTTGCCAAGGCTTTTTCCCTTTCCCAGAGACTACATTCTGTGTTTCACTGAGCCTTCTCCACAGAAAGTATTCACTTATCCTGACCACTCTGATACACAGTTTGGATTCCTAGAGTCAGCCAGGTCTGCCCAGCTATGGTGTGGAGGGGAGGGATGCTGTCGGAAGTGTTTTCTTGATGGATCTCTGCTTCTGTTTGGAGACCCTCTCTCTTCCAAGGAAACATGGTTCTTTCTCTTAGGATTCCCAGTTTCATGAGATACAGCATCTTATTTACTATGTGCGATTCCACCAACATGTACCTTTACCATGCCTCCCACTCTATGGGACTTGTCTTCCCCTAACTAGCATCTTTAGGTGGAGATGGCTAATTATATTCCATTGTGTCCACCACAGAGTCTGATACCATGATTTGCATATATATTTTAGGTTATTAGCACTGAGATCCCTGAAAGCTACACATAGTTTTGAATTCTTGCATTACTTTTGAAAAATCAAAATAATGATTATCCTATCAACTTGAATAAAATGCAGCATTGGCTGCTTTAAATTTTAGAGAAAAGAGATTATATTAAAGCAAAAAAATTACAAATGCTATGAGTCATAATGTGATTGCATTTATATTCCAGATTTCTGAGAAGGGACACAGGATAAGAAGTAGGAGGGAAAAATAAGAGGGGAGAAAGAAATGGTAGAAACTAATAGAGGAGAGAATGAAACAAAGGGAATAGAGAGACAAAGAGGAATACAGAAGGAAACACTGAATGCAGAGGAAGCCTGTTTGCTAACCAACTACTGCTTGGTTGAAATTCAGTGTCATTAGGATACAGCCATTTTTCACAGCAAGTGCCCCCCAAAGAAGGAAATAAACCAGCAAATGAAAATGACGGGAATGTAAATCACTTAGCTAGTACTTACGGAGACTTTATTCTATATTAGATCCCTGTATACATCACATCAGGATTAGTGTTAGCTCTCTGAAATGAAACATCAATAAGAGGACCACATGGTGCTGACTGCACCTCCAACTAATATTTCAGTTCAGCTTTAATTATCATGTTCATCTGGCACCGGCATGGTGCCATGTAAATAGAAATGGGTCATGGGAGGCCTGGGTTCTTGTCCTGCATTTGATGATGTGACCTTGGTTGGCTAATCTCTGTGCCTCAGTTTCCTCATTTGTCAAATGTGAATAAGAATTCTCTGCTCTGTTTATTTCACAAGATGTTAGGAGGATGGAAATATATATATATATATATATATATATATATATATATATGTATAAAATGCCAGATAAATGTAAAATTGACCTTGTTCTTTTTACTTAACAAGGTAGTAAGTAGGCGGAGGGGTGGTGATGGTGGCATTCTGCACAGAAGACTTGGTGACTCAATGACGTGTCTTCGTTTCTCTCAGTAATATCTGGTCTGGGATTATTACTGCTTTCTCGATGTTTTTAGGCATACTTCTCCCCTTCAGAAATGCCAGAGGTGAAAAATACTATTTGACTGCTATAATTTGTCACCCTCGCTGCCTGAGCAAGATGTGTATAGACAGTTTAGTAATTAAGCTTTTCAACCCTGCATCATAAAGTTTTATTCCAGCAAAGTCTATATTTATCAGCTAACAAGTATTAAATCATCCCACTGCTCAAGCCGTTTCTCACTTGAATATGCTCCTTTCAAAACAGAGCAGATTTCCTTGGCTGGTTTAATAAAAGTTCTTGTTTGGCAGTACTGTGGTGCTGTGTGGTCCTGTGGAGCTGACATACATACACCTTGGTAACTCTGCCAAAAGGTGCTGACCCCTATTTCTCAGGGGACTTAGCTGCCTTTGCCCTGGGTCATTTAGGGCATCCTGGCCATCTGAGGCTTGATGGCTTCTAGCACAAGATATTCCCATATCCATTTCAATTTCTAAAGAGGAAGAGGTAAATGAAAATAGAGAAACAAACTTTTGAAACATTTTCTTTCCTGATTTGAGCATCAGGGAATTGGTCCGTTTCTATCAGAGATGGATCTAAATGTAAAATGAATTTTCAAAATGATTAAATTAGCAAAGTAACAATGATCTACATACTAAGCAGGGTTGAGTGCATTCTCGTATTGCCATAGTCTTCTTTAAGCAGATGCACAATTATTAGGGAAACGCACTTCGAATGAATAGATATTAAAAGTCGTCAGTAATGGCTTAGAATAATTTCTGTAGGTAACCCACTCCACCTTATAAATCATTTTCTCTCTCTTCTTGCGAGTATATACACTCATGAGATGAATATAACACTGCTTTTAAATCTTCAGTATGCTTTCACTCAAATGGCTCCAGAATTATATTAGTTAAAAACAGAATAGTTACTTAATATATTTGAATGTACTATTTTACCATATTTTAAGGGTATAACCAGAATAAAGACAAATGTTAATCAAATATAGGCCAAAATGATGAAAGAAATCTCAATATTTTTATCATATCATGCCAGAGATCACAGTAATTTCCCTTTTCCTTTCTATGCTTTCAAAAATAAGTGATGTTAACCACATGTAGGCATTTCAGTTTTCCATGAATTGATTGCTGATAGGAGATGTATAATGACATTTCATAGAATCACAAAACCCACTCTGTAGTTACATAAACAAATTCTGCCTGTGCCTGTGTGTGTGTATGTATGATAGTGGGCACGTAAGTGTGAGATTTTAAATACTACCAAGCTAAGGAGTCTTTGGTTGAACTTTTCTCAGTTTGAGAGGCTGCAACAATTTCTTTCCTTTCAAAATGGCAAAACGGAACTCACCATTTCACTTTCCAAATTAGCAACAGGTAGCTTGTTTGGAAGGCTGGGGATCAATTTCTCTCCAGCCAGCAAGTCATGGGGTTGTCACTGAAGCATGTGGGTGATATGCTGAACCGCTAAGTTGGCAAATATTGAACTGTTTTAAGTGCATCTATTTTCTGGTTCAGTAAATTTTTTTGTATTAAATTCATTAAACTTGACAGAGTCTAAATGCCACAGCACATACTGCAGAGGACATAAAAGTAACAGCACTAGCCACAGGAGACAGCAAAAGGTAAAGATCAATATAATTTCTCTCAGTTTCTCTTTAATTTTTATCTTTCCTATTAAGACTGGATTTTTTTTTCCCTAAGGTTAAAAAGTACTGTGTGACTTGGAAAGTCAAGTTGAATCTGGTTATTTTCTGAAAATTTGAAGAGACATTTCTTTGTCAGTCAAGTTGCCCTCCAAACTGCGTTCTTAGAGATGATGACATATGTGACCTACAATTCAGGATCATTTAATAACTTGGAAGAGAAATGAGAAACAAAAATTACACTCTGTTATCCACAGTTTGGAGGAATCTTGTAGTTTGGCAATTTGTAAAAATACTGAATCAAGGACATACTTGAAGATTTATAATGAGGCCTTGATAATGATTATTCTTCACTTGGGATTGAAATTTTCAAAAGAATAATAAAGGTTTCTGAACATGAACTGTTACTTTGATTTGACATAATTTGGGGGGAGAGTCATTTGTTTTTCTTAAGCACTACTTTGCCTCCGACAAGGAGTAGACATGGCAATTCAGAAAAGTGGAGAAAAGTATAAAGTACAAGGAATTTCATTCTAGCATGAGTTGTAACTATTGAAACTATAAAATTGATTTTTTACTCCATATGAAAAATAACAATCAGTAAAGAACAATTTTCCGGTAATTTCTCTCAACAAAATATAAAACAAAATAATCAATGACAGAAAATTGTGAAAACCCCAAAGTACATGTAAAAAAATAAGAATACAGGTACTAAATATGATTCTTTAAAGCTTCCAGAACACATAAGGCAGAAGTGATGCAGCCATCAAAGTTGGACTGAGTAAATCCATCCCCTCCACACACAAGAAAAGGTTTGAGGTGAAGAGTCATTTGACCAGGAGAGTTGGCAGCAGCATTTGTAACCTGAAAATGTTAAAAAAATAATTGAAATTGACATTCTGTGCTCTGTTGTGCTGTCACGTCAATGTCTACCTGGGGAACGTTTCTCTACCTGGAGAGATCAAGGTGTTTCACAATGAGCAATGGAAAACTAAGCCAAGGCCCCTTGGCTAAGTTAAGGATTAAGTGCAAACAATATACATTCACAGTTTGACTAGCAAGGCTACATCACAATTTATAAAGTTCCAGATTAGTGCTAATTGTCATTCAGCTTGAAATTTTTCACCATGTGGAGGAAAAAAAAAGTGAGGACCTCCTCCTTCCTCTACGAATGAAAACATTTTCCTAAACCAATCAGTCACAAGGGCAAGGACTACTTTTCCTTTATTCCCACTAATTAGAACACCATATCCTTTTATTGTCAATTATGTACTGACTTTCAATCTTGGTAAAGAAGATAGCCTGAAAACATAGAATATTTCCAACTAGTTCCATAAATTGCTCCTTTCTGCAAATGTAACCATATCTGGTCTCCCTGGAAGAGCTGAAGAATTGCATGATTCTCGCCCAAGTGTTTACATTGAAATTTTTAAATGTTTACTTTTTCAGTTATTTGATAAGATAACCAGAAGTGTATTGAACTTCAAAATTAATAGGTCATGATCTGCTAAATTAGTTGAGAGTACAGTTAATCTTTTCATTAGGGAGAACAAAATTCATGAAATCATTCACCTATTATTGAGGACCTGCTATGTGCCAGACAAGGTAGATTCAAAAGAGATTTAAAGGGTCATGTCCTTAAGGAGTTTCCAGTTCAGCATGACTGCTGGCATATAAGTGTCTAAGGCCTAAGACAGAGTGAAAGGCAATGTGCTATAAGAACACATGGGAGGAGGCCAGCACACCTGACAGAGGACAGAGAAAGCTTCAAAGGGGCATGACTGGTCACTTCATGTGAGTTCTGATGGACACATAAAAGTTTGCCAGGGGAGGAAACAGGTATAGGGCTTTCCAAGGAGAAGGAGAAGCGTGTGTAAACATCACAGTCTATGGGTACTGTTTCGGAATCTGTGGGGCAGGTCACAGTGTGTGTGTGTGTGTGTGTGTGTGTGTGTGTGTGTGCGTGCGTGCGTGTGTGTGTGTGTGTGTGTGTGTGTGTGTGTTGGGGGAGAGGGCTGACAGGAGGAAGGGACATAACTGAGAGGCAAAATAAGAGGAATATTGTGTTTCAAATTTTAAAAACACAAAATTTATAAATAAAGTCTATTAAGAATTTAGAATTTACTATATATGCACCAAAAGTAGGGAGAATCAGCTGAAGTCTGGGACTTATTTTATTTTGTAGAACCAGGTTTATAATATTTGAAATGATGAAAAAGGTATAGAGGTTATTTCCTGGAAAAATTATTCTCTAAATTGGAATGTATGTTGCTAACAAGCATTCACAGCAAGTGGAATGAGCTGGAGATGAATGTATTTATCTTGGACACTGGTGGTTTGGCTACTGAAGCACCAAAAACTCCCTAAAAAACCAAATTACACAAAGCTATTATAAAGGCAATCTCACTTGGGACTACTTTCCCGCACAACTTCAGGGGGCGCCATTCACATAGACTACAACGTGGCAGTTCTGGTCTCCTTTATACAGTGTTTTCATGAAGAGTAATAGAATAAGGCCCATGAGGATTTGCTTGTTTAAAAATCACACCAAAAAATCAAGAAATGTATAAATGCTATTTGGATTACGGAGCTGATTTAGGTTTTTGATAGGCTGAGTTAGTATACGCTTTTATAATTTTTTAAAACCAGAAAAACTTTGCATAGATATTTTTATTTATATGCCATATTTTGCTTTAAAAAAAAGAAGTGATACAATTATTTCCTTCTTGAATCACTTAAGATATGGACCTTTAAAGACCTGTATCAAATACAAATGTAAAATGTTAAAAGTATCCCCTCACTTTTCTGGAGGTCACTTGATAGCAATATCATCTATCATAGACATAGCAGATAATCTTTTAAGAAAATTAGGTCATAGTTTTAATTTATTATGTTGAATCATAATTTCTTTCCCCCCCAGCTTTATTGAAGTATAATTGACAAATAAAAATTGTATATATTTAAGATGTAAAACTTGATGTTGTATTATATGTATACATCACAAAATAATCACCATAGTCAAGGTAATTGATAAGATCTGCTCTCTTAGCAAATTTCAAGTGTACAATACAGTATAATTAACTATAGTCATGCTGCTGTACATTAGATTGCTAGAACTGATTCATCATATATAACTGAAACTTTGTACCCTTTGACCAACATCTCCTTATTTTCCCTTCCCACCAGTCCCTGGCGATCACCATTCTACTCTCTGCTTCTATGCATTTGACTATTTTAGATTCCACATGTAAGTGAGATCGTGCACTATTTGTCTTTCCATAGCCGATAACCTTGAAATGGGTAGAAAAGACCTTTGAGTGGCTGAAATAGATAGCACATAGTACAGACACTGAAGCACAGACTTGGGTGTTCAATCGGAGCTTTTTAATCTCCTGCTTTAGATGGAATTTAAACAAGTTGGATGATTTGATTTGTCGGTGAAACACTAAGGGAGAAAGGAAACTGCTGGGCTCCTATATATTAGCGATTTTAGAACATGACAATTCGTAGTCTGAAAGCAAGGGATGCTGTAGAAACACTCGAAAACCAGACAGGGCTGGGAAAAAGCCTGGCAGTCTGGGGTCATTTAGTGGAGGGCAAATAACTTTCTGGCTCTTAATAGTCCCCAAGGGTACTAGCTATTAGTCTTCCTGCAATCATTAATGCTCATGATGAAGGCCCCAATATTCCAGAATCAACTCTAATATGCATAAAGTATTAATTGTTGGCATTTCTTGAATGTTCACTGCATAGCAAATGCGTTACGCGCACACCCCACTTAATTCACACAGCAACCTATGAGGTAGTTGCTATTATTCTCATTTATAGCTGAGAAAGCTGAGACTCAGAAAGACTGTTACTTTCCTGAGGACAGAAAGCTCAGAGGTGAACAAACATTCAAACAAAGCAGAGCTCCTGAACTCGCCCCTCCAACCCCTTCAGAAATGTTTCCATAAAGACTTAATTTAAGTAAGATAAAACAAAAATGTTTAATAGTCATCTGGAAAATTCACATAAATGGGATAAATCATTCACACATATTCATATACATATACCTATATGTGTGTCTGTGTTTATACACACACATATATAAATCTCCATTTGTAGTAAAGTTTTGATCCATTCCAGCTGACATCCCTGTATGGATAAACCATGGCACTGTTAAACATTAGACAAGTATTAAGCAGGAGGTAGCTTAAGGAAAAAGGTTCTGCCTAGGGGTGAGGAGGTAATTCATCGGTGCTGTGTAATTTCATTTGATGAGTGCTAAGTGCCGGATGCCAGATCACATGGCTGGAAAACTGGGCCACTGATTAGCCAGTCTGCAGTTGGGATGAAATCAATCTTGCTGCATTTAGGTGGATTCGCCCATTTTACAATTACCCAATGAGGAAAATATGAAAACATGAAGGGTGTGTTGGCAACCTCCTTCACCCATGTGAAGCAGAGAGCCCTGCAGTGGAGCAGCACGTAATTGTCAAAGCCACAATCTCTCACAGTAATGCAGCCTTTGGCTATGCTTCCAGCCACAGTGAGGAACCACAGCTCAATGACTGTGTTTAAGAGAGATGTCAGGGCTGAAACAACCCCTTGGAAATCCAGGGTGCTTGGGCTCACCTGTGTGCCAGGGCGGGTAAGAAAGAACTCAGCCTGTAGCAGCTGATACCGTGGGTCGCTAATATAATGGTTCTATATACTTAGGTGGTGACTGGACTGGACATACAAATTCAAAGCAGAAAAAGCAGTTTTATAGCTAAGTGATTTAAACCCATGTGTGTCTTGTGACTCCTCTCCACCTGTAGAATAAACTGCAAACTCCTCAGCCCCCCACGGAAGGCCCTTCATAACCCAATCTTACCTCCATCCAAGCCTGCCCTCTTGCTGCTTCTCTCACTTTTGCCATGTGTCCTATCTACATTCAAACTAAGGTTCTTCAGGCACATCCTCCTTTGTTGTGCTTCTGTGACTTTGAACAAGTCATTCTGCTTAGTGATGTTGTATTGTTCCCTCTCTTTCCTGCCAAGTAATTTGCTTATCCTTTAAGAACTAGCACAAATGTCACCTGCTCAGAGGTCTTCTTGCTCTGCCAGGCAGGGTAACTGCCTTTTCAGCATGTTATTTATATCTATTATGTTACTTGCTATTTTGCACTGTAATTATGTCCATGCCTGTCTCCCTTCCTAGACTGCATGCTCTGAAAAGTGAGGACACTGTGATGCACTAATCTTTGTACCCAAGGCTGAAAATGGTGTCTAGCCCACATGAAGTGTGCAATAAATGTTTATTGAGTTTAAAAAAAGACAGAATATCGTACACATAGTTGATCAAATGGTGTTCATAGGGAACCAGCTACACAAGAAGTGTTGTTCAGTGGCTCCCACAGAGCTGGCAGAAGCTCAAATGGAAGAGCTATTGTATTTAGAAGGCTCTCAGTAACGATAAATGTCTCTGCGAACTGCTGTATGTGAATGTCTCCTATGTCATGTATTAAATTAAACTACATAAATTTGCTGATTCTGTAGGTCAGAAATGGTAAAATACTGTCAACTTTTATATGATTTAGCCTAATAGTTTCTTTTTATAATGATTATTAATTGTGAAAAGTCACACAAAAATAGTCCCTTGGGGGTGAGAATGAAATTAAAGATGAAAAGAAAGAGGGAGGCAGACAAGTAGGCTAAATGGGTATTTCCACAAAATTATAGTTGATGGTTAGCAAAAAAATTCAGTGACACACATGACAATGTACCTTCTTTCTTCCAAACCTATGTTGACAGCTAAAGCTTGTCCTTGGACTGTCAGAAGTCTACCCATAGAACAATCTCATTGATTTGGCCTACACGGTGGCTCCATTTTAGGGTGAC